TTGTAAACATCAGGCATGCATCGGAATAGAATAAGAAGTTATTAAAATGTAGAAAATTATATTTTTTCAGAATTCTACAGTGATGATAATCCGTTGGCTTTTTATCTAGTACTTTCAGGATCTGTGTATAGAGTGACACACAGGCTTAAGTGTAGTCACACCTGCCGGTGACAAGGATGTTATACAATAAGAGAGTTACATGAACAACCATAGAATCTTCTGGTTTCTATCCCCCAAAAAGCGCTTCCATGACATTTTGCCCATATATGTCACTGGTAAACAGGGGTTAATTTCAACCAAACATATCCAAAAGTCAGTCAGTGAGAATCCTGGTACTTGAATGTCTTGTCCACTGCTCTGAGAGAAAAGACAAGACGATTCAATAAGTGATTTGTTACCTTCTGAGCTTAATAAAACTGGGTATTTTGCCATTGTCAATGGAAATGGCTGTCTGAACAGAGCAAAGACTTCATTTATAGGAACACCTTTTAGATTTTTATCATGAATCGAAATCAGGGTCAGAAAAACAAAATAATTCATTAGAACTACCTAAAAATATTTATATTGTTGACATTTTTTATCCTGCCTTGTGACCCATGTTCATCCTGGACACAGGACATCAGTTTCCTCTGTAGCTCTCATTTCCCAAGCTGTCAGCACACATGGCAGAGAAGAGTACTGCAGGAAGAGAAAGAGAGGAGGTAGTTGTGATTGATGTCAGCCCTCTGAAACACCTGCCTGCTCTTTATCCCAGGCAATTTTCAACTTTTTGAATTTGCCTGCCTTTGTGAAAAAGTGAAAATTAAAATTCCTATGTTCGTGCATATAGGTGTTTGTGTGTAATACACTGAGTGAGGGGGGTGAGGTACAGCCAGGCTTGTTGAGGATCAGTGAACTGATCGATAAAATGATGATTCATAAATCCTATTTAATAGCATAGAGTCCAGGATGTGCTGATTCAGGGGGCTGGAGAAGAGCTGAGTTAAGGACAGTGGATAATGAACACGGTAACCTGGGATGCTCTCCAAACAGCAGATTAGATGGGGATCAGTGACATGGTGCTTATTCAGTCAAAACTGTGAAGAATTCTGGTTAACAGTGTGTAAAGTTTTTAGGCTGTGGCCAAGTGGCTGTTGGCTTTCTCACAGCTCTTTGAGAAGAACTTTAATTGTGTGTGTCACATTTGTCTTTGTCAGCACAAAGAACACAATGAAGGAGAAAAGAATTGATTTGAGGTCCACTGCAGTGACTGTCAATTTTTTGGTGGAGTTTGCTAAAGTCAAAAGAATTTCGGCAGGTTCTATGCTACGAGTAGATTTGCTTTAACTTGTTGTTGGCTTTTGTCTTGATGTCTTTTAAGAAGAATTACACTTTCATCACATTCAGTTTATGCATGTGCGACAAATTCAGGAAGGAGAAAAATAATTTGTCCTGCGCCCTGTGATCTGGATCCAAAATGTAATGGTTGGTAATGTTGCACCCCTCCCACCAAGTGTCATGAGAATGCGGCCAGTAGTTTTTCCATAATCCTGTCACAAACCCACAAATGGCCCAAAAACTGCCCCTTGGCGGAGGTGAGAGAAAACAAGATGACAAATAACAGAAATAAGATGCCTTGTTGTATTGTACAGTGGGGACTCTTACTGAACCTGCATCACAATGAGGTGTAGCCCAGCCACAAGTCTGAGTCTTGTGAAGGTTCTCATTTTCAATTTCAAGGTTTTGATTAAACTCACTAGTGATTTTGAAGGCAGTTGGGGTGAAGAGTTCTTACTTCCACCAGCTAGGGATGCCAGGCACCCCCAGGCCTGTTGGGTCACATAGTCCGTCCAGTCGACCCCTGAGGTTTCCTCTTGGCTTGGATTACAGGACAGATACATCAGCTATCAACAACAGGCTGAATCTATGGCAGGTGGAGTGTTTCGGATGGGTAGCCATGCCAGTGAACAAGTAACTATGGAACGGTTCGGTTCATGTTCGGTCACGCCAGATGGGCTAGCCAGCTTGACATGGTGCTTTATGTTCCTTTTAGTGAACAGGGTGACAGAGTAACAGTGCTTAACTGTGTCGTGCAGAAATATGCGGCCTGAGCAACACTCTATGGAGTACTACAAATTATTAAACAACGGACTACCGGACAATGCATTTGCAGACTGACTCAATGTCACTCATTTGTGGTCAACAACATACTCACTGTTTATTTGGTCCGATGTTGAGATTACTTACTTAATTCTCTTCGTCCCCTGTGACGAATAAGGCCACTGTGAGCTATCTCCATTGATCCCATCTTTGGCACGATGTTGAGCCTCAACCCTACTTAAGTTCATCTTGTCTAGCTTGTTCTGTGCCAGGTCATTTCTGGTCTTCCAGGCTTTCTTATTTCTGAATGAGAAAAGCTCTGTCTCTCGTCACTTGACCACAGCCACTCCACTGACAGTTTTTTACAGGAATTGGTCTTGAGAACTTGTTTTGCTTCAGATGTCTCATAAATCAGGTTTGGACTCAAACATGATTTTTGGCATCCTGGCTCCCAGCAGGCTTTCACCATGGGTGGGCATCCTGTAACTTTAGAGTTCTCTCAAGTGCTTGTTAGGCAGGACTTTTAGTTTCTATAACAGTTATTTTAATGGTTGGCATTGCTAGCACAGTGCCCAGCCACCAAATGTTCAGCTGCACCAACTGTGGGTATCCTCTTGTTAATGATTTTCCCTTTCTCATCCACCTTCAAAAACATAACCTGACTGCGTTATCTGGGAAGTCGATATTGGAAACTGTTTGGAAAAGGGCAGACACAAAAATACAATAATCAGGTTATTTGATTAATTAGCTGTCTATCTATTCTGGACAAACCTCCACCAATCATATCAACTAACCATAAAATGTAGTCAAACTCTTTCCAAAGGCAGTTGGGAGAAGAGCGAAAAGATATTTTCCATCGAAAAATAAAAACCCTTCAGTGACATTCCTTGCTTTCCTTTTTTAAATTAAAAAACTCTCCAGTTCTGATAGAACTGATGCTAGCAGCATCTACCCGAACCTCTTTATGAGCCATCATTGTTGTTCAATGAACAGAGTCCTCTCACTGCTGATTGGTAGGGTACCACTGTAGTTTGGTCTTAAATGTAAAGACTTTTATTTGGTTTTGTTTGCATGAAAAGAAGGAAAACTAATTAGTCATTTTCCTGTTGCCTTGTCATTCAAACATTCCCACATTTCTAATGTTTTGAGAATGTACAGCTTTCAGCAGTTGTTCCTCAAGGCAGCAGATGTTTTAGATCATGCCTCTTAATTCACTATTTGTTTTCATTCATTCTACTGAATACTGAAACATACATTGCTCCAGGGTTATAGATGATACTGTCGTCACTGCATGTTTACATATTCCAGCCCATGTAAATGTATCCTACAAAGAGCAGGTAGGACCGACCGACACACGAGGACACAAGCAGCAATTTAATTTCCTGCAGAGAGCATCCCATACAGTTCACTGGATGAGTCATCACGGGCGCACAGGTAGTGCTAAGCTCTGGCTTTTAAGCACTTTCAGAATGACTCTTGGAGTCGTGCAGAGCTGAAATTCCTCCTCATCTGTCTTTCAAATAAATACACCTAGACTACACATTCCCAATTGTGAGCATATGGCGAGGATATATTGAGATATGGTGTCCTGTGTGTGCATGTGTGTTGTGATTCACTTAAATAGGTCAGACAAGCAGTGGACAGCCTGCTTCTGGCTGCGCTAATCTAGTATCCCATCAGTATTACAGCGTGTGGACAGATTTTACTATTGTAGAAATTCCACAGTTTACACTCCTCTGTCTGATGCGTTACCTGTCAGTGATGTATGACATTCTGCCCCTTGCTGCAGAACTGTACGCTCAGAGCTGATAGATGATGGAGGAGGGTTGCTAAAAAGGTAATCTGTGACAAAGGGCACGGTGATGTCAGTGGAAACTGCAGGATTTGCTGTCTTGTCTGAGATTGTGACAACATAATTGTTATGGAAATTGAAACAAAGGGAGGATCACAACCAGCGCTGTAACTGGAAACATTTAGTGTTTGAATCATCATTGAAATAATCATCTGTGACCTTTTCATATAAATAAATCTGCTTATAAACACTATCCCTGATTGATATAAAGTAATAGTGGATGAACCTATAGCCAGGAAGCAACATCTGTTTAACTGTGTGCAAACACATGGTGTCATCCCTGTTCACTGCACATGGTCCCTCTGGTATTTCATATCAAACACTTCTTCAGTCTGAAAAAAACAATGTATCTTGTAGCTTGTTATTTTTTATATATTTTGCAATGGCTTTAATATTTTAGGTACCTTTTTACAAATAAGTCATCAAATCAGGAAATATTGCCCAGCTGGTGAAAACTGTTACAAAGTTTGAATCCCTCAAGTGTGATTTATTGTTTTTTGCATTAACAATGGATCAATTTGTTAAAGGACCAGTGTGTACAATTTAGAAGCTTGCTCCTGAATCCTGTGCGAGAATGGCGGACTCTGCCACTAACAATAAAAACTAATATAAAGAGAGGAACCTACAGAATGAAAATACACTTGATGGTTATTACTGAAAAATGCCATCAATCATAAATAGAGAAACGTATGGGCTACGATATATAATAAGTTTGAATGATTAGAACTTTAAAATAATAATCAAGCTCATTATAACGTAAATAAATGTCTGTTTCCTTATTATCATAGTACATAATACAATAGTAATCCAGTACAGTATTACATATGTTATTAGTTGCTGTAAACAATTGTCTGGTAGGGCTTTCTGAGGTGAAAATCTCTTATTGTGATGTGTTACTGTATGTATTGTTTGCAATAAACACAAGAACTGGGTAGTTGGAATCAATAGTAAGAACAGAAAATGAAGACTGATTTAGAAGTGATTGCAGGAGATGCAGACCAAAAAACAGCAGAGAGAAGAAGAAAGGGAACTTATTCATTGTTTGTGTGTTTTACTTTCTTTCTTCCAGGCTTCAAGTGCCCTGTGTGCTCCAAGTTTGTGTCCTCAGATGAGATGGATCTTCACCTGGTCCTGTGCTTAACCAAACCCAGAGTGACATATAACGGTAGGTCTGACAGTTCTATTTGAACTTATTTACAAATAGAATATAAAGAATGCAAGGACATGCAAGCCTGGTTAGCATGTGAGAAAAGCTACAGAAAAATCAGAAAGCTAATAAAAAGGTGATCTAAATATGCTAAATTACTGAAAATTATAATTAGATTTAATATATTGCTTTATTGTGTAGGTTTGCGAAACAAAAAACTGATACTGAAATATATGAAAATATCACAACACTAATATATGCAGGACATTATGTGCTAATAATGACACCCTCCAACAGGCTTATAATTATCTAAGAGATGATAATCACTGGTGCATACAAGAAATGACCAACTTTCCTCATGAAACTAGACAATCACAGCTTTCTGGTTATGTAACTTGATCCTCTGTTTGCAGTCGGCTTCCCTGTGAAATCTTGTGTAATCTTTCTGTAATATTTCCAAAACTGTAGCCTAACACTGTGGTTGCCTCGGGGCAGCTTCTTCTTTTATTTATCAATAATCTGTTATACTCTTTTGTACTTAATGACACCGCAGCCATGGTTATTGTGTCTGGGGGGACTTTCCATCCCTCTAAGTGTTCCTTTTATGTATATAGTTCCGTTGTTGTTTCCTGTACTAAACCACTCTGCCCTTTGCTCCTGAGACCCAGCATACTAATATGGGCTGGTGTATCTGTTCTATAAAGGTTGTTTAAAAAAATCCCCACAATGAGGTTACAGTTACAATCAGGTTTTATAGCTGATTTTACTGACTGCTGAGTCAGACCTTCCCTCAACTGCAGAATAAATTCTCCAGTCAGACAGTAACATGATAAAAGTATATGGCCCCTTGTCTGCCTCTGCTTTTATAGCACTGAGGTACTGGTGTTGAGTTCAGTTTTTTAATAGAAGCATAACATAAAGATTTTTGATAAGGGCCCCTAAATATGGTTAGTAATGTATTGTATTGTGACCCAGAGTTTGTACTAAGTTGGACATTTTACTGTTGACACATAAACTTGTTCACTAGAGCTGTGTACTGGTAAGAACCTGGCGATATGATACGTATCACAATACAGTGTTTACCATCCAATAAATCGCGATACTGTAAGCAAGGTGATATATTGTGATTTAAAAAAAACTATAATAATTTAGGAAAAATGTACACAGAAAACGCCACAAATTATATAAAATATCCTGATACAATATTTTTCAGTATTTTCTTGCACAGCTATTGTTGACCTCCTGAAAACACGCACTGTTGTCAGGGCAAAAAAATGTGTGTCATTTACCAGCCAAGTTGGTGGTAGATTTGCTTTACTTACCAGCCCAAAGGAAGTTTGATCATTCACTGTGCAACACGTTTGTTATTGTGCCTGCAAAGCGTGGCTGATTTCAGTCATTTCAGGACACTTCACATGAGTAATCCAGAATAACAAAGTGTTGAAAACTGCATGATTATATTGTTGAATAGGGCTGTGAATGGGCAAGAATCAAATTTTAACATCATTAGATGAGAACAGAGCTTCTGTCGACTTTGTAGCAGCTGTCTAACTCTACAACCACAACAAACCTGCGGACTCACTTGCTAACGTTAGCCTGCCACCCCAGTGAGGCAGCAGAGCAGAGGCACCACAGACAACCTCGTCAATACTGTCCTACACCCCCATTGTTGAATTTATTACACAAACGATGAAAATGTACATGCTTATGCTCAGTGGGCATGCACATCATAGAACAGGCACCGTGAGTTTATCCACCCTTGTTTTTTTCACTTGGCCCATATATGGGGCCCGTTTGTTCATCGCAATCACGCTCCTGGCCAACGGCTTTCATTTAGGAAAAATACAGCCATTCATATAATTATTAAGTGTTTGCTTACCTTAATAGAGAGAGGGGACTTGGGTTGAACACAGAGATGGAAGATGCAGGACATCCCAGGGAGGGACCAGTGAGGAGAAGGAAGAGAGGAGCCAGGGAATGGTGTGTAACAACGAGTGGAGCAGGAGAGGACAGGGGAGAGGAGAGAGAGAAAGATGAAACAGGCTTCCAAAGACTTCCAAGCACATGAAGTCTGGATGAGACCCACATTTTCTGCATTTAGCATTTCAAATAGTTCTGGTGTTATGTTGACGGATGTCTTCCCAATTGGAAAAACAACTGAGCCGATCAGAGCTTTGTAGCTGGCATTACAAATAGGGACATCAGCTTCCTGTGCCAGAGCCATTAAGTTTACTGGCAATTTAGTCAGATAAACAGGCCCATCTTTGGCTTCCTCCTGTTAGTTGTTAACAACCATGTACACAGATATATTTTATGATTATCTAAAATCTGATAACAATATCGCCCTTGCAGATCTGGCTGTATCAGTCTCAGTAACACGCCAAAGTAATCAGCAGTATGTTCAATTTCAGGTTTTATGGTGGAACTCCACTGATGTTTACACATTAGTCTATTTTAGACCTTGGGGAGTACCACTGTATATGTATAAAAAGTTATATAAAGCCTTTAGTGTCTCCAGAGTGATCTGTGTAAAGTCTGATAAATGTCTTCAAGTGATCACTTTAGTCAGTGTTGGTTGGGGCTGAAGACAAGGCTGACAATGAGGACAACCTGAGAACAATGCATGGAATAAAAACAGACTGTCTCATGTGCCCCTATTATCAATTTTGATATTTCTTTTTGTCCCTCTTGAGTCTGCAGTGCTAACCCTATTGAGTAAGTCGGAGTAAAACTAAGTTTTCTTACACACCTTTAAATTCAGCCTTGTGACCCCCCCATGAAGCTTTGGCTACCATTAGTGGAGGTCCCGACCCCCAGGTTGGGAATCACTGTGCTAATGCACAAGATGCAATTAAGAAAATGAACAGTGGGGACAGTATACGAGGGTGTGTGTAAGGTCAGGAGTAGACTGAACAAATAACAACAATGGCAGAAAGTTCTAAGAAGAAACGAATAGAGCTGGTACCGCTATGGCCTCTACTGCCATCATTTCATCATAAACACAGTAACCCTTTTTGAGTGTTGCTGTGTTGAGTTTGTTTTTACATTGTGCAAAAATGGTTCTCACAGCATATACTCTACTGTTGATCAGGAATGATTCTGCCCTGATCTGCTCCCTAGCGGCTATACTTTATAAATTCTAAAGGTACGCAGGGAAGTATGTGAACAGTGCTGCTCATGGTGCAGTTGCGTGTCTTGGCAAAAATCAAGTAAATCACAAGGCTACCCTCTGGCTCTGGTGTGAATCCGATGGGACTTGTAGGGATTCTGTCTGTTTTTAAGGTCACTCATTACAAATCACCTCATCCTGCTTCCTTCTCAGCATGGATGACCTACTTCTACTCCCCATGTCTGTATAGGAACATGACAGCACTGAAACCTTTTTATGACTGGAAATGAACAGTACAGCAGACATCTGCATCTCTGGTGTGTTCATGCCATGTCTGTATTTGAGTAAAAGTTTTGAATTTATTATTTCAAGTTATTTCTCTGCTCAAGTCTGAAGACATTTCAACTTGTACATGCACACTTTGCTCTACATTTCCCATCTCAGCTGAATGTTTTGGGGGGAACGCTGTTCCTCTTCGAGTAAGCTGACTTCCTCTCAGTCTTCCTGTCTATTAGTCATATGGTGACTGATCTGATCGGTTCCCTACAGTATGAAGAGCACCAGTCAGCAAAGACTGACAGTCTCTGACGTACTGCACTTTCTCTAAGAAACCTCTTCTTAGATTGTCTGATAGATTTGATATCTAGGCTTTGTGCTCACAAAACCTGCTTGGTTTAAGAGTTGGTGTATGTGTGTTAACCTATCTAGATGAATCTGTAACTTTATTCAGGTAACGGTAAGTCTGCAACTTGCCTCTAGTTGCTGTAACTTCTGGGTAAACCCAGCAGGCAACAGAGAGTGAGGAAGGAAGTTAGCAAATGTGAACATAATGTGAATAAAACTTTACCTCGTCTGTGCCTGAGTCATAGTGGTGGAAGAAAATTATGAAAAGTTAGGTGCGACGCAGTGAGAAGCAACTGTTCGTTGTTCCACATGAAACACAAATCAGAGTACTATTTTCTACCCCACTTTTATGTATTTCCTGTAAAAACGGTAGCCAAGAGTGCCGTGTGTTATGTCCCCCAACTTGGCCGGGACTGGGAGCTCCCAGTGAACAGTACGTCCAGACTGGGACTGAATGCAGCACCCAATGTCAATGTATGACAAAAGGAAATTAAGTAGAGGTGTTTTTATTGTTTACTAATGTTAGCTGCACGGGCTAACAGCAGCGAACATTACTGTTGGCGACAGTTAGCTTTTTTTAGCAACAGGTCCATCTGGAAACTCAGTAAATCACCTCTGCACCGCTGTCATTGAACTGTATCTGAGGTTGTGTTCACTGGGAGGCTGCTGAGCCCCGTTCGGTTGCTGACACTAACAGCAGCTACAGTAGCAGTTAGCTGAGTTGAGGCAGAGCTGCCGGAGGACATCAGAGGGAGGACATCAGAGGGAAAACCAGACTATTTCCTACATTAAATATGACCCTGTTTTACTGATCATGTTGTGTTTTTGTACAGTTATGAATCTTCGCTCTGTGTCACTAAAAGTTGAAGATTGAATGACAGGTGAATCACGATATTATTGGTTGAATTCGGTTAGTTCATGCTTATGTAAGCACACGTCACATTTTATTTTACAGGAAGACAAAATAATTGGATTTCAATATAAAAATACAAAGAAATGTAACATTTGTAAATGTTTTGGCATACATTGTTAAATAGGGGTACAATATAACAGAATGCAATTTTAAAGTGTTAAAATTACATTTTTCATTTCCTTTAAACAACAATGGCAGCTGATGAAGAGGTTAGCGTAGATGCTGCTGGCATCAGTTATATCAGAACTGGAGAGTATTTCTTCTCTTCTTTCTTCTCCTGACTGACTTCAGGAAGAGTTGGTCTATGTTATACGGTTCGTTGATCTAAGTTCACCCCTGATGGTTCATCCAATCACCTGCCAAGTGTTTGCTCTTTTCCAAACAGTTTCCAACAATGACTTCAAAGGAGAAGAAAGACACGCTGCATGGCTCTGATGGCTGGTCCGACCGCTGCTCTTTAGTTAGGCAGGTGATGGTATACCAAATTTAGAAATCCAA